ATTTATCCATCCATCCATCCATGTCCATCCATCCACCCATGCACCTGTCCCTCCTTCCATCTGCCCATCCACCCGTGCACCTGTCCCTCCCTCCCTCCATCCATCCATCCGTCTATGCGTCCACCCATCCATGGTGCAGCTGTCCCTCCCTCATTTCCTCCATCCTTCCATCCATCCATCCATCCATCCATCCATCCATTCTGCCTGTCCAGCCAACCATCCATCCATCTGCCCATGCACCTGTGCACCTGTCCCTCCCTTCATCCATCCATCCATCCATCCATCCATCATGAATTCATTTATCCATCCATCGATCCATCCTTCCATCATCCACCTGCCCATCCGTCCACCCATCCACCCGTGCAGCTGTTCCTCCCTCATTGCCTCCATCCTTCCATCCTTCCATGAATTCATTTATCCATCCATCCACCCACCCACCCACCCGTGCACCTATTTCTCCCTCCCTCTATCCATGAATTCATTTATCCATCCATCCATCCATCAGTCCACCCGTCCACCCGTCCACCCATGCACCTGTCCCTCCCTCCATCCTTTCTTCCATCCATCCATCTATCTGCCCATCCACCTGTGTACCTGTCCCTCCCTCCCTCTATCCATGAATTCATTTATCCATCCATCCATCCCTCCATCCATCTGTCTATCCATCCACCCATCCACCCGTGCAGCTGTCCCTCCCTCATTTCCTCCATCCATCCATCCATCCATCCATCCATCCATCCATCCATCCATCCATCCATCCATCCATCCATCCATCCATCAATTCATTTATCCATCCATCCATTCTGCCCGTCCAGCCAACCATCCATCCATCTGCCCATGCACCTGTCCCTCCCTCCCTTCATCCATCCATCCATCCATCCATCCATCATGAATTCATTTATCCATCCATCCATCCATCATGAATTCATTTATCCATCCATCATCCAACCTGCCCATCCGTCCACCCGTGCAGCTGTTCCTCCCTCATTCCCTCCATCCTTCCATGAATTCATTTATCCATCCACCCACCCACCCACCCGTGCACC